AGTCATCAGGTATTGTCTATTTAGAAAATATCTAGGCTAAGTAAAAATAACCTTTTACTTTTAGCATTTGTCATTTTTTTCTTTACACCAAATTTAATTGTGAATACCTTTTAACTCCTTTCTGGTGCTGATAAATCTGTAAGAATGTTCACCTTTGTAGTCCCTCCTCATCAGCATTGCTGAGAGACATCCTGACTGACCCAGGGTTCTTTTGTGAAGAATTTCCACTATGATAGACACTGGGTAATGTCACATTTTAATATTAAAGTTAGAACTTATTTATCTTTATTGTAAGGGGCAAACACTGAAATTCTGAGAAAAAATAATTAAAATTATTTAATGGATGCCTGAATTTAATTGCACAAAAATTAATTGTATAATTTAAACTTACTTTTCTTAAAATTGCCATTAGATATATTCACCTATTTAACTTTTTTTGCAGAATTATTTCTAATTGAGATAACAGCCCAAGACAGACTAGTAACAATATATCCTAGCAGTTATTCTTGAGTGAAACCTTCAAGATACATATTCAAGACATCATTATTAGAGAATAGACATAGGAATATGTATCTATTTCTAGACACAATCCCTTTATCTTCTAGTATCTGTGACTTGATAAAAATGTGGGAAAAGTTCATAATTAAGATCTAAGTTAAAACAAATACTGTTTCACTGATGTATTTCAATAAACTTAAAACATTTAGATGGTGCACTATTTATGACCTTAATTTTAAATATTTTATCTTCTTTGCTAAATAGTCATTAATAAATGCTTATTAATTTATGACTCTGTAGTATTTGGGGAAAAGTAAAACCCCAAAGATTGTGCTGATTACCATTCTTTGGTTTATGAAGCAACTTCTAACAGATATTTTCAGATGTATAGCTTCAGACTAGTTAAACTGAAAGTCTGTTAATATCACAAAATCATTAGCGTATGTATTTCTTTCAAGTTGTGTTCCAATTATGTCATGGCCATGTTCTCCTAACCTCCCATTGAAATGTCACGTTTCTCCAATATCCCTGCCTATCCTTGCATGTGGGTGGTCCTGTGTATATGTTGAGGGGAAGGCTGTCCTAAAGGAATTCTGCAGTCTTACAGAATCCACCCCGTACTCCAGCTTTCTGGACCCTACCCCCTAGTCCAGTGATTGGAAACTACAACTCCCAGCAGTACCAGGGAAAGAACTGTGTGGACCCAAGGGTGGAGCTAGCAGGAATTCTGGGACATTTGGGGGATAAATAGGGTGCGACTGCATCTCTCCCTCTCTCACTCGGGAAGCAGCTCTCCTGACTGCATGACTCTGTGTTGTCAGCCTAGCAGTAAGGTATTCCAGTTACTTTGTATCCCACTCCCTCTCCCTGGGTTGTTTCCTATTCCTTTCCCCTTTTGTAAATAAACCCCTTATTGACCCTTTTGTGTGCACCTGTAGTATAACCAAATTGTGAGCACGGCGGGTGAGGCCCCACAGACAGGCTGCCCAGTCCACTCTGGGCTACCCTGTAACATATATTGCAGAAGGGAGGCTGTGCCTATTCAAAATCTTTAAGAACTTGTAACTGTTTTGTTGTTTTTCCCTTTTGGAACACAGTTAATTGGAATGCTCTCTCTTGGGTCACCATGTTGTGAGAAACTCAGGCCATGTCAAGAAAAGACCCAGAGAAAAGAATTGAGGGGCTTTTACTGATTGTCAAGAGGCTGTCCCAAGTGAGAATGCCAGCAGCCAACCACACACCCAGGGCCTCCAACTACTGCTAGATCACAAGCAGCAGAACCATCAGCTGAGAATCCTGAGAAATTGTCAAATAGATGTCACAAGTCACCAAATGTTGGAGTGCATTAATAAGGCAATATCCTTCCACTTCTTTCAAGGTAGGCCTCAAGCTTGGCTCAGTCTGAGTACAAATCACCAAGGCATTAGTATTCCAGTTGTCTTATGCTTCATTTTTTTTTTAAGATTTATTTATGCATACAGAACTGGGGTACAGGCCAGATGTGCAGAGGTGCTGAGAGGATTCACCAGAAACAGAGTGGGGAGCAGAACAGGCCAACTGATGAAGTACACTCCTGAGGGGAGCAGTGGACATGTCAGGAGGTCTGCTGTGCCATGTAGGTCACCTCTGAGGCGGGGATCCAACTCATGCTTCAGTGGCTTTAGATTCTTAGCGCTGTGCTTTAACCTGATGAGCCACCAGGGAGGGCCCAGTTTTATGCTTCATTTTAAGTAGGCTGTCGATTATTCAAGGGCACAGATGTGATGTTTCTTTCCATGCATCCCTTAGTTATTAGCATATTATTAGGCACATGAAACTATAATAACCTGAGGTTGCCGGTGAAATCCTAACAGAATGGAGCAAATGGGGCCAAAAGGGTCTTTGACTGTAAGACAAATTATATTATTTATTAACCCAATACAACGACCCATTGAAAAAGAGTGTCTATGTGATAGGTCTGTGTAGGTATTTTTATTGAACAATGGCATTAACTGTCACAGAGGGGTTTTATTCTTGTGTGTAAACTCAAAAGATTTCAGTCAGCAGCATTGTGCTCTGTTAAGAAATTTGCATGAGGAATTGTGACAGATCGTATTGAAGGAAAGTTATGTAACTCAATGAATTTGACAAATAGAAAGCAAAAATGATTGGGGCTACACTGTAAAGGAGGGGGTGAATAATCATTTGTAACCCCAGCTTCTGATGAGTATTCTGCATATACTTGATGTGAGATATAGCAGTTATTATACCCATGATGTCCTGGGAATGGGACATTCTCTATTTGCAGGAACACTTACTTTTGTAACAATAATGAAGGTCAAATCAGGATAGAATGTTGGATCCATTTGCGATCCAGGACCCATTTTTTTAAGGTCTGTAGAATCTTGGCATTATTTAAAGTATGAGGGATTTTAATGATTTAAAAAATTCCAATTGCACTTTTGAGGTTTTTTTTTTTCCCCGAAAGCTACAAAAATGACTCAATATATTTCCTTTCCTTGAGGGTCAAATGATTTGTCCCACCAAAATTCACCCTGCTATGTTGCTTCCCAGAATTCATATTTCTGTGTTTCAGAAATATACTTGTTAAGGAAAAGATTAGGAAATAATGCACAGTTCAAAAGGTAGTTTGTATGTCTGTGTGAGGTTGTGTGTAAGGATGATGGTGAGAAACTAGGTCCTTTCCTGTCTAGATTCCAAAGTTCACTTGTGTGAATTTGATCTTTACCCAAAGACATATGCAAAATCATGTATTAAGTGTGTTCAGATACTCTTTGGAAAAAACACGCGAGTCGCAAAAAAAAAAAAATCAGCACAAAGCTTGATTCATGCGGTCATACAGTCAACGTGTACCGTTCAAATACATTTAAAAACAATGTGAGGACTTTAAGGCGTAACTCTTGCCACTGCAATCTACTGTCTTTCTGGCCATTGAAATCTACTGTCTTTCTGAAGTGTCACAAGGAGAGAAGAGAATAGTAGTGGGAAGCAGAGGGAGGTGGTGGAGACGAGGGTGGGAGAGAGAAGCAGCCGGAGGAAAGAGGGAAGCTAAAAAGGGCACCTCCGAGTCTACAGTCTATTCTAGCCCAAGCTTGTGAGCATCGCATCTAGGTTGTAACAAAGAGATGACCATGACGTTCCTCTCCGGCGCTCGACAGGCTGGTACCCCGGGCACTGCACGCGCGTCAGCCGCCACATCTAGTCCCCCTCCTTCAGGAATGAAGAGCCCCTAATCCGCGAGCGGCCAGAGCACGGTGCTAGGCACCGCAGGTCCCCGGGAGAGGTGCCACGGCTTCGGGCGCGTGCAGTCCGGGGCGTTGGCGCCTCCGTGTCGGGGAGCAGGGAGGAGGCCCAGCTGCAGAGACCTGGCTCCACATCCCCCGGGGGTGGTGGCCGGCGGGCGCGAGTCAGGGCCGGTAGCCGCGCGGCCGCAGGGCGGGGAGGCG